AAAAGTTATTTAATTTTTATTTATAAGTACCTTTTAGTTTTCTTGAATATGGAAATGTACTCTTCTTCAGGGTCTATGAAAACTTTGAAAACTAATTTTTTTATTAAAAAATAGTTTTGATAATTCAAAGTTGCTAAAAAAAGGCAGGCATATCATATCGCCTGAATATGGAGAACAAATTACTGAAACTATTTTTTTTGTAATAAAAATTAGGTTTCTAAAGTTTTCAAATTTCTTGTAAGGCAGTAGGTACATTCCATAATCAAAAAAGGAAAAATTTATAAAGGAAAATTAATTAAATAATTAATAATAACTATATAATTTGAAATATATAATTTAAAATAATTTCATCAAAAGCACTATTATGCTGTAAAATAGATCAATGTTATGGCAAGGCTATGTCACGTGGCAGTTTTCATACAAAATCGTACTAAATACTGTCAAAATGTCATGTATTTATTGTGTGATCAGGAGTTTTACACGTAATATGCAACAGCATTCATATGTTATTAAACCATATCAGAAAGATCCAGTTATCATAAGATCGTTTTTTTGTTTTCTATTTAAAACGCCTGACTTCACAGCAACTATTTGGCTTTGGACAGTATTTAGTACGATTTTGTATGGAACCTACTACATAATATAGCCTTGCCATAACATTTGTCTATTTTACGGCTGAATCGGCTATTCATATTGTGTTTAGGTAAAATCAATATTTAATTCTCTATAACTCCCATAAAGACTCGACAATTGTCTTTTCCCCATATGGATAGGTCATGTACGGTAAACATTTGAAAGTTTCAACTAAAACCGTTAATAATATGCAAAACATAAGTCCACCTTCCTACCTAGGTACCTGTATAAGAAAGTATAACACGCGCGTAATTTCTTATAACAAGAAAAGTCATTTAGACATAAGTGGATTCAGTTTTGCTCGGTTTACCTGGAAAAGGGGCACGTGGTTGGGTCAGTCGAAGCGTGCGGGCAAAATGGTTAGAATTGTGAAATTGAGGATGTCTTAACAGGATGTTACGAGTAATAGAGCATTAGCACGAGTTCCGGTTTTAAGTGCTATATTGGCACGTGGTCTAGAAGAAATTACCTGGAATAGAAGAAAAAACATAGGTTAATGTTTGGATAGGTGATAAATATTTATAGATGTGAATATTTTAAAATACATATATAAAGTATAGGATCTTATTGCTCAGGGCGGATGAGTTTACCATTATTTTAAATGCAAGGGTATTCTTTAAGAATTGTCGGTTTTCTAAAACCGATTTTCCAGGAGAAACTGATTGAACTAGAAAACCAATTTTTTGGTAAAAAATGCCAATTTTCAATAGATATATAAATGACACTAAAATGACAAACTTAGCCAAATGTACCAGATTGATAAAAACCCTATTGCAAATCAATAGACAATTATGGGTCAATTATCAACATCCCGGAGTTATAGTAATGGGTCGAAAATGGAAAATGAAAATTTTTCCATATCTTCACGTTTTAAAGGTTTCTGAACATTTTGGCATATCTCAGAAAAAATGGATATATGTGTATATGTGTATGTGTGTGTGTGCGGATAAAAATTTTCGTCGACAATTTCGCGAACACGGATTAACCGATTTGTAACATTCGATTCCTATTGATAAGGAGTTGTGCTGATTAGTTTTTGGCAAAGGCAGGTCCAGCCGTTACGGAGATACGGAGCAAAGAGTGCAGAAAACAGAAATCGAGTTTTTGAGAGAACAAAGCATCCGATTTGAATGATTCAAAAAACATTCAATTTATAACCATGAAGTGGTGATTAGTTTTTATTATAGGCAGGTTCAGTCGTTTTGGAAATACCGAGCTAAATGTGCAAAAAATTGCAGTTTTTGAGAGAACTAAGCATCCCATTTGAATGATTCAAAAAACTTTCTGCTTGTTTTGACAATATAATTGCTTTTGGAAAAAAAGTATATCAATTTAAGAATTTTTTTTTTTTTTGTATATCGAAAATAATTCAGATTTTAATTTTAATTCTGGCTAAAGTTCTAACGATCACTTATATGCTCTAAATAAATAATTTTATTTTAGTTTACATAATTCTTAGAAATATTAGACAATGTTACAGTATTTATGACCTATTTGAAAACATTTAATATTTCTCGGACATTTCGTTCCGGTACGGGAAGTTCCAGCAATTTGCCTTAAGGCACGATGCCATATACCACTAGTTATGTTTTGGTTTAGTAACTTGCATACAAAGATTAGTATCAATAAAATTGTATAGTAATTTTATAGGATAGTAATTATTTTTAAGTTCAAACTAGCTATTAATTCGAGCAAATATTTTTTTTTACAAAAACTCGAAACCGGTTAATATTCGTTGAATTATTGGAAAATAAATCGCACCTCAAAAATATTTGGTTAGATTATTTTTGTATGTATTACATATATTTCAATATCAGAATGTTAATATAAATTAATCACAAAATTTTTAAATTATTATTATTATTTTTAATTAAATAAAGTTTAACCATAATTCAATTTATCTAAATTTGATTTAATTTATGATGAGTTATATATTTTATTATAATGGAAAACTATGGATTTCAAAAGTTGATTTATTTAGCAATATCTGCATATATTATACATATTAGAATAACATATTGATTTTATAATTATAAAATTTGTTTCCTCCAAGAGATATACTTTTTGAGTTTCCTAAATTTTAAATTTTTTATTGTGGAATGAATTAATTTAATTATTTAATAATATGTGAATTTACAATTTTCAATTAGAATTACTAGTATTCACATTTAAAAATCGTTACTTCTTTGGTGGTTATGTGAAAAATACTTGATGGATTTGTTTCAAATTTGATTATTATGTCAACTACGACCTCTTTTGTGAAATTCATAATTACGATTTATTTGAGAAGTATGATCTCGAATAACTAAACAAGAATTTCATTCAGTCAAAAATATGAAGTAATTTGAACCATTCTATATTAGTGTATTATTAGAAGTCTTCTAAGAACTATTATGAATGGAACACCAAGGAACTAACTGTGACAGCAGTTTATTTATTTAATCCATTCATAATTCTCTTACGGAAGCATAAATCGTTTTAATCTCTATCAGTGTTGGTCAATTTTAATTTTCGAAAATCCATATATAATTGTAATATAATTTATGCAAATATTTCCAAATAATTCAACTATTGAAACCCAAATTTTCAATCAAATAGAATCAACCAAGAAATCGCTATAAAGTGCAGATTAATGAGATATATATTATTATTGATGTTGATTTTTATAATCTCTAATATTGATCTAACATATCTCAAATCTCAAAAATTTTAAACTGATTCTTTTAAAATGTCAACTGATCATCGTTTAAGATCAGCTATAATTCTGTTCCAAAAATAAATAATTAAAATATAAACAACCAGTTGACCACACATGTGTCAAAGACATTTGGACGTGCCAATGTACTCTATTATTGTTTATTAATAATTACAAATAAAATAATAAACAAGGTGCGGTCAACGGTAGCGAAAATCGGTAAGTGACCTGGACGCGTTTTACTTGAACTTGACTGGCCTTCACTGACTAGAAATAGAATTGATAGTCGGAATTGGAAATTTTAGGGTCATTGAAAAAAACTAGTGGTGCATGGCATCGTGCCTCATTACAAATTGTCGTATCAAAAATTATTTTTTGATACATACATTTTTTCTAACGTAAAATATGCGAAAATGTTCAGAAACCTTTGAAACGTAAAGATAGGCTAAAATTTTCATATTCAATTTTAATTATATAATTAAATAATTATATAAAAAATAAAATAATTTCTCCACTTTTTTTGTTAGTATGATGCATTAAATCTACAATTGATAGCTTGTGTCCTTCTTTAATCAAAAAGTAAAATATTTTATATGATGTTATTCAATAATATTTTAATCTTTTACTCTATCCTATCAATATTACCAGAAGTATACTATTAAATTTTAATTGAATAATTTGCATCACATTATTTGAAAATTCAACTCTTGTCAGTGAAATATTTCTAAGATTAGATATTTCTCATTTTATAAGCAAAACTTTTTTTCTGGTTTTATGTTTTTTTTGTATTTACTTTGCAAATAGTTATACAATGTACTTTTCTTCTTAATTTCATCTTTCTAGACACAATTAACATGGGTGTCAGGTGTCATGTATCCTTCTAACAATAAGATTTTTTTTCATTCACATACATACTGCCTTTATTTATAATTTATAAACTTTACTTTTGCTTATTGAAATATTTTTCAATAATTGCATATGATTAAAATAATTTTTTTTTTAAATAAATTTGATACTTTTATCTGTTCGATATTGCAACTTTGTAAACGCCTAAATTATTATCGGTTATATTTTTAATCAGTGATCAAAAGTTTTAATTAATTAGTTTGAAGTGATAATTATTTATTGCCTAATATTTATTAGTAATTAAAATATAATTTTTCCAATTCGATTATTGAAATCTATATTTTACACAAGGTGCAATAATATTTGTTAAACTATGATAAATAAGTCATTTTTATTTTAATTCCAAATTGTTTATACGTTTTGTTAATTACTACTATCAACCTAATTCCATATATCAAATTAATTATTTTTATTAATGCATATATTAATTTGCTTCAAAGCACTATTTACATAATGACTAAGAAAGTGATTTAATAATTGTTTTTATCATTTCTTTAAGAGAATACCAATTGTTTTTAATAATTCGACTGTTATAATTAAAAATATTCAATCGTCTATCTGCAAGCTGAAAATATAAACAGTTTCTTAATTAAATTTCGCGGTGATTCACACCGTGGAAAAGAATTGCATAATGAGGATGATAAATCAGAGTCGAATTTGAAATGAAAATTGGGAATAAAATTTTAAAGTTAATTTTTTAATTTAATTTTATATAACCATTTAAGTCATTATGCATTATGCAAGGTAATGACGAATGATTCTTCAGGTATTTTCGTATAATCCTATCTTTTCCCGTAGTTGCTAATTATCTTGGGCTTAAAACAGAAGCGTAATATTTGACCTGGATGATATAGCATTCATCTTGAATAACGATTAAAATATGATAATCTGACTACCCTCATAAACAGTTTTTAATCAAACTTCGGATATAACAATAATTTAAAAATAGTTTAAAAAACTAGTGGTGTATGGCATCGTGCTTTGAGGCTATTTGCTGGAACTTCCCGTACCGAGTTAAAATTTTGAAAATTTGTATTATTTTCAATATTCAAAATTTTTTTTGGAAATTAAAAAAAATATTTGAAATTAAAAAGAAATTGAAAATAAAAAATATTTTTTTTTGCACACAAGCTGAAAGTTTTTTAAATCATTCAAATCGGATGCTTTTTTCTCTCAAAAACTGCCATTTTTTGCACATTTAGCTCCGGATCTCCAAAACGGCTGGTCCTGCCTTTGCCAAAAACTAAGCATCACTTCTCCCCATCATTACAAATTGAATGTTTTCAGAATCATTCAAATCGGATGCTTCGTTCTCTCAAACTCTATTTCTATTGTCTGCACTCTTTGCTCCATATCTCCGAAACTGTTGGACCTGCCTTTGCCAAAAATTAATCAGCTTATCTCCCTATCAATAGGAATCGAATGTTTTTTTGAATCATCAAATCGGTTGATCTGTGCGCCCGAAAACGTGGACGAAAAATTGTATCCATACATACATACACACATCCATTTTTTTCAGGGTATGCCAAAATGTTCAGAAACCTTCAAAACGTGAAGATATGAAAAAAAAATTCAATTTTAATTTCTGGACGATCACAATAACTAACCCTACGGGAAGTTTACCCTTTCCACTCGCGAATTCCGAGATTATATGAAATTTTATCGCTGGAGCGGCGGCATCCGAGTGGAAAGGGTTAATAAGGGTCAATTTTGGTACTTAGTAGAAACTGAAAGAAGACTTAGGAAGATATAGTCCATTGGGCTATCATAATATTATAAATATCTCAAAATACAAAAAACTTAAAGAATTTGCCTAAACCAATATCTATAACAAATTTTCTTATATCTCGATTCAAATAACTTCCTGGGTTTTGTTCTCAGTTTTTAATTAAATCTATCGCAATGGAATTTCATTAAACAAGTGCTTCCCTGGGATCAATTAGCGCAGATAATTCCGAATACAAAAATTTTAAACAAAGCCTACGTAATCTAAATGCAAACACTCGGAACTAATCTCTGGTCCAATGCATTCTTCACCAGCGCGAAATTATCATTTGACAAAACATACTCTCGAAATTAACAATAATACGTAACGATATTGCCTTAATTATTTTATATTGAACAATTGAAAACGTAAACAACGCAGAACGAAATTATAAACATAGTCAGATAAATTATCGGTGGTTAAGAAACATATTTTTTTTTCAATTCCAAGCACGATAATATTATAATTGTCTCATCACAAACGCACTATATGAGTTCGGATGAATCAGTTAGCTTCTGGTTCTCGACCGATACACACCTATAAAATTAAAATCTTTGAATTAAATATTATCTTGAAAGACTGAAGCTTCAACGGGAATCCATTCAAGAGAACTTGTTTTTATATTTGCATTTATTACCAATTTATTTACAATTTCGGACGCGATTTTTGATTATACAAAATAAATGATAAATTCGCGACTTTAAACGAATCCATTTATCTTATTTGCTTCTAAAAATATTTTTACGTGATATTGCATTATTAATCTGGTATTTCGAACATATTTATAGTAATGTGAATACACAGTGATTTTCTAATAATAAAACTTTGTTTAATTTCAGCCCGCTGTATTCAAGGAGTGGACCCTTTGCAGGATCTTCAATGGCTTATTTTAGCCCCAGCCCTCCGGTTGCAGAAAATAACGTGCAGCAGCAACCCAGTGGGTGGTCTTTGGGAAGTAAGTTGAAATTATTTAATATTTTAATTTATTAATATTTTTTTTTTGGTATTATATATTTGATTTGATATAATTGATCCAACTACAATACAACGTTTTCAAATAGTTCGTTTATGACAAAATATTTCGACGTTTTGAAGTTTATAAATTTAACTGAACTAGATATCCCTACAAAATTGAAAATAATTTTTTTTTGCTTATATTTTACGTTTTGAAGGTTTCTGAACACTTAGTCATGTGCGCGTGTGTATGTGTGAGTGTAGTATGTATGTATGCATTTGCGGATACAACTTTTTGTCGGCGATTTCGAGAACACAGATCAACCGTGTTGAATGATTTAAAAAACATCTCACTTGTTGAAATTATTTATTTGATATTTAAATTTATTAATATAATTCAATTCTTTTAGTTTTATATTTTTGAATTGATATAAATGATCGAACTAGATTACAACGATTTTATATTAATGATGAATGACAAAATATTTCGACGTGTTGAAGTTTATAAATTTAACGTAAAATAATCGCGTAACCATCCGTAAGTTATAATAATCTCAACAAAATAGAAAATGAAAATTGTTCCTTATCTTTTACGTTTCTGAACATTTTGTTATATGCGTGTATGTGATTGTGCGAGTGTAGTATGTTTGTATGCAAGTACGGATACAAATTTTCGTCGACGATTTCGAAAGCACAAGTCAACCGATTTGAATGATTTAAAAAACATCTCACTTGTATTGATGGACTGAAAAATTGATTAAATTTTTGGAGGGCAGATTCAGATGTTTTGGAGATCCAAAATAATCAAATTTTCTGAATATCGAACCTTTTCAAAAATGGTTAAAAATCTTATTTTTTTCAAAGTTTTTAAAAAATATTAAAGCTTTTAAAAGTTTTAAATTATGGTACAGTATGTTTCAGCAATTTGCCTTAAGGCACGATGCCATGCCCAGATTCTAAATCGTCTTGCTAATCAAAAATAATATTAAATTTCATATATGGTTTTAAAATTGAAATGACTTTATAAACCTTAACATATGCAATTATGAAGAATTTCATTGTCAGCAGCATTATTTTCAATCTCTCAATTTGAACACAACCCTTGAAAAGTTAGGTCAAATATAAAGAGTAGAAGAATTTTATATTATTATATGTTTGTATTAAAATTTTACAATTCTTTATAGTGACAACACAGCCATTAAATGTCAACGACGATTTTGGAAGTTCCAAAGTCAGTTTACCAGCTTTTTCGCAAAGATTTAACTCAGGATTTTCAACGACACCAAGTGCCCATCGACCCACTCCTTATAGCCCAGCAGCAGTTACATATTCTCAGGTAATAATTGATATATAATTATTTAGTAATATATTAGTATATAATAGCATAATTAGTAATAATTTTAATAGTATTTTAAAACTATCCAAATTCGAGACTTATTTAAAAATCATCAATTGAAAACACTCTATTCACTCTATTTGAACTATATTCGACCGCTTGTTTATTCTAGGAAATTTTGAAAAAATAATCTTGTTATCTTTTTTATAAATCTGACTAACATAACTCGAAATCGTGATAACAATCTATTAAATGTGGTATCAATATTTTGAGCAACGTTGAATCAACAAAATTTACTGATCAACTAACTTCATTCACCACAGAGCCATCTATCTAAGTGATTTGGAACTAATGTTTCTACGATTCAATTGTATGAATATATAATTTTTATTTTTTGTCTATAAATTTAATATGAAATATTTTATTTTAGAATGATTTGTGGACGAACTATCCCGAATCTGGCAGTTATAGCACTGCAAATGCAGTTTCACGTGCAAGGACCATGCCCAGCTCTTTGTCTGCAGCAGCATCTTTATCAGCCAGTGAGTATTGTAAGCTATTATTATTAAACTAATATCATTATATAAGGTCAAATATATTAATCGTGATTATGTAACTCGATAACGAGCGTAGAAGATTTCGATCGCCTCTTGTTTTGGGTATATAGAGTCTATAGCGACTCTATATAATAATTATATAGATTATTATTTCTACTATGCTTAATTGAATTTCTTCGTGATACGTGTCCTTTTATGAATTGTGTAAGGAATAGTCAAGTATTTAGTGTCAGTTGTAAAAAGAAGTTTAAAATTGCATTTTAGGTTAGTTAAGATTTTGGTACTAGAACTACTCTAACGCTATCGAAAGAGGTCTAACTCTGGACTCTGGACTTTTTTATTTTTTAATAGGAATTATTAGGGCGAATTGGAAAATCTTAAAAAAATTATATGAACTCACGTATATTACGAATTTTATCTATTTCACATATTTTCTCCGAACAAACTTTTTATGTAACTCTAACCGTTTTTCCCGTAGGATAATTAATGTGTGAATATATCGACATCGTGATATATAAATATTAAGTAGTGCGGCATTAGGATTTAAATTATCTATGGAATCATAAAGTATAATATCATAAAAATTCAATAAATCAATGGTTTTACTACTGCTAGTGCAATGTGGAATCAGCAAAATGTGATTACTTTACTATTGTGCAACTTTGCATTTCATTATGATATTAACTGTGACTACTATAGACAAACAATTAACAATCAGTATACAAAGTAGTTGCAATAAAAAATATTAGAAAATTTACTCCAACTACCGTCTAAGTAAAAGAATCACTAAATTATCACAAAGTGTTCTGATTGTGTTAAAAATATATGAGTTAAAAATAGAAATGATCGGTGTAGACAGAACTGTATTAATTCTTTCGAACAAAAATAATTTTTTTTTTTAAATATAATGATATATAATGAACAATATATAATAAATTTTGCTTTGGTAGCTAAGTTTTTGAAGACTTAAAAAAAAATATGTGATATCATTCTGTTGTTAAACAATTATCATTGTGAAATCTTAAATTGTTATTAAATTAGTTAAAATCGTGATTAACGAGCTATTAAATTGTAAAATTAAAACTATTATTATTAGAGTGCTTGATAGTGCATTAATATGTAAAGTAAATTTTTAACTGAATTTAAACATTGAATTATTTAAACTATTTGGTGTTCTAGAATATTGCTCCAAATATGAGTATAGAAAAATAAGAAATTAATGTTGAAGTTAAATACAACACTTTAAGCTTTCAAATGATTAACTCGAATAAAAAACGGTTTAAAAATTATATACATAAATACTAAAATTGGCAATCGAAAAACGTAATTCAAGCTCCTCAATCATGTTTCGATTTATTTGTATCGTTGGATTCGAGTATGGCCACTCAGTAAAAAAAAAAATTTACATTTTGATAAAAATATAGGTTATTATTATGGGCTATCATCATGATAGTTGGTAATTTAAATCAAACAATAACAAAAAAAATTAAAAAATACATTTGTCTTTAAAAATACACTATTAAAGAAAATCTATATGATCAAAGAATCTAGAGTTCAAAAATTTTATAAAAAGAGTTTAGATGATAAAAGCGCTGTTATCAATGATAAATTGCAACAAAAGATGCTTTACTATCATTCGATTTTAATGGAATTTTTTTTTCTATAAATTTTTTAAAACTGCAACAATCGACATACATACACACCATACAACCATACATACACATCATAGAATCTAGAGATCACAAATTACACAAAAATTGTTAGCTGATAAAATCGCTGTAATCAACCACAAATCACACCAAAAGACGATATTTTACCATTCGATTTTTATGGAATTTTTTTTCCTATAATTTTTTTAAAACTGCAACAATCGACATACATACACACTATACAATGTGATATCTCTAACTGAATGCAGGTTGCCTGACACTGACCTAGACCAAACGAGTAAACAATATTCGGATAAGGATAAAGTAGAGATACTTCTAATTGTAAGATATTCATTATTATGTCTTTTCGGTCTGAGTCGAAAGTTTATCCATATATTTATTAGTGTAAGTGCATATATTTCATGCGTTTACATATTAGTTTATATATACATAGATTTTTTTTGCTTCGTTATCAAAAAAAGAACGGCTCTGAATGTCACACACAGAAACAACCTAAAACAACATAAAAATTCTTGGTCGTTAGTGACGCGCTCGGAAATCATTAGGAAATTTAATAATTATTAACACAATTTAGATAAAGAATTATTTTAATTCGTTGATGGAAAAGGAATATGAAATGCTCTTTGTTTGTGTACTCATTGTCAGATATTTTTGTGATTTTGTGTCAGTAATCAAATTTTCCTGTAACGATCAGTCTTTCTGACCATTCGCTATTGTAAAAAACTTGAAAATTAGACTTAAGGGGGCGTCCATAATCACGTGATCATTTTTTTAAAGGATTTTTGGACTGCCCCTCCCTCTTGGTCATATTCAAAATTACTCCCCGCCCCCCACCAAACATAACTTTTAATTTAAACATACATTTTTAGCTTTGAGAAAAAAATTGTATTTTTTTTTTTAATTTTTTAAACCCCTATGTGATATTTTGTGATTTTTTGTCAAACCCCTCCTCCCCTGAAAAACCTCATGTGATTAATGGACGTCCCCTTCCACAAAAAAAAAACGGTAGAAATTATTTCATTCGTATTTGTTTTAAAAACCAATAAGCACGTCTTCCAGACAATACAAATCGTATGTTTTTTAAATCATTCAAATCGATTGATCCATGCTCTCGAAATCGTGAACGATAAATTGTATCCGCACATACGTACGAGCGCCCGCACACACACATATATCTGTGTTTTCTAAGGTTTGCCCAAATGTTCAGGAACTTTGTATAGTAAATATGTATAATTTATTGGCATATAATGGCATTATAATTAAATTTTATTGTTTTTCTTGTAAAAGACATATAATTCAAAATTTATGCTCTTCTATTTATCTATTTATATTTGTTTTTCAAATCAACTGCAATTATCAATCGATATTCAAATTAAGATTTAGAGCCTATTATATAAGTATCTAATCCAAAACAATAATAATTCATTATTCATGTTAAATAAATATGTCCTTGTGTCATTACACATTGCTCAATTAGCGACTTTAAAACGATATAAATTGTATATTTTTCATTTTTAACTAATTCTAGTGACGTTCGAATAGTTTTGAACCCTCAATTACATATACAAAAAACAACAATTGAAATAATTCATTTTGCAAACGTATTTGTTGAAAGAACTTAATATTCGTATTTTTCATATATGCTAGTAATTTTAATTAGCATTATTTTACATTAAATATAATTATTGCTCTACTTCTGTACATTGTTTATTGCATTTTAATACAATTTTGCAAATTTTGTCCTACAAGGCCCTTAGAATACTATTTACAGAAATTTGTTTACCAGAATTTTAAGTTTACATGAATTAAATAGAGCTTATTATGGTAACGGTTTTTGAATAATTATTTATATTGATTGAAATATTGATTTGCTTTTCCTGGGCATTGGCGAAGAATACCTTAAATGTTAGCTTCATTAATTTGTATAAAAATATTCTTCAAAAGGCTTTAAATATTTTATTGGAAAAATTACAATTTAAAAATATCTTTAACAATTTGCTGTTAACTACTATTTAAAAAAAATGTAATCTCTAGGGAGACTATAAATATTAGCTTATTTTAAATTGAAATACATATATATTTTTAAAAAATACGAACTGTGCTCATAAGTCAATTTAAGAAAAAAAACTGATGCCAAATCAGGCGATTTTAATTAGATCACAAATATCGCTCAACAAATCGTACATTTCCATACATATTTTTGTCTAACTAGCAATAAAACGTTGAAATTCATAATAAACGAAAAAAAAACTGTGTACCAAACCAAGGTTACACTGATTAAAAAGTTTTAATAAATATAATTGGTATAAATGCAATATTATCACCATGTGAAAGTGCTTCTATCGGTCACTTACATCGATGCCGAAAATTTATGATGATAACCCTGCTCTCTCCGAGAAGATAAGGCATTTTTTTATTTGTGTTTTTGTAAAAAAATATCAAAAATAAATTGAAATTTGAAAAATCAGTCTCATAAATGCAATATTATTTCTTCATAATAATGGACCTATTTATTTGACATTGATTACATTCGGACAATCTTCATTTTAATCAGAGTTAAGTAAATCACAAAAGATCATCAATTATAATATTTTATTGGTCAGGGAAAGCAAAATTTAAAAAAGACATTTATGATATAATAAATTAATATCTGTCTAGTCATTTTTTGGAATGCTTGTTGAATAAGTGAAATTTCAAAATTTGTATTTGATCGTAAAATGAAGTTCATTATATAAACCAATTGAACTTTCTGAAAATTCATATCAATTTCCACTCGTACATTGCAGAAGTAATACGGCGGGAGCGGTGGCACGCGAGTGGAAAGGGTTAAAAGCTATAGATTCCTTATTATTAATGCGTTCCTTTAAATTTCTCATTTTTTTAAATATGGCCAATTGATCTTCCGGAACCAACTACATTTTTTTCTGTTACACAAAAAAAAAGTTCCTCACATGTTACTTATAATTATTATTGTTATTTTTATTATGTAATTATCATTTCATTCATTTATTTAATCCTTTTATTTTTCTTAATTCATACGTTAATTTTTAATGAACATGTAAAAATCGATCAATAGAAATTTCATTTTTAAATAAAAAAGATTTGTTACTTCTTCTGGTTAGAAACATATCAATTAATGACTTTTTATAATGCGTTCAGCAATCAATATTGCACTCAATAAATGATAAATAACTGAATTTATATAAATTTACCTAGAAAAGAAAAAAATAGGAATGCATAGGATTATTTATTAATTCCTTATTATATATTTTTTATTCTTTTTTTTTAATTGCATGGTACTTTAGCAAAATCTTG